GTTTTCTAATTCTCTGTGTGTTCCTTTCATTACCTACTACTCCCTGCTTAGTCCCTGGTTGGCTGCCAGCTAGGGTCCAAGAGTAGATGAGGAACACTTTTGCATTTTGCGCTTACAGGCTCAGTAGGATAGATGAGCCTCTGCTGCATAACCACCCAAGGTGATGGTGGCATTTTGAAAACCCATTAGGCTGTGAATGCTCACCTAGATTCAGAGCATCTGGGCAGTGTAGGTAGTCAAAGCAAGTGCTACATTTTCAGAACTTCTAGATCATTGAGTATGGCTTTGAAAATTCCTCTGTTTTAAGAGCATCCATAACAAAGAGCTCCAGTCCCCTGATGTTTACTCCATGGCTTCCTTTGGAACTCATGCTACATAGGCTTTACTAAAATTCACACAGGAAGGCTGTGATAGATCTGGGAATAGAATCAAGGTCTTCTGCAACCCATCTTCCCACCCCCCTATATAACGTGCCTTTACCATAAAGGCAAGACATGCCCCTAATTTGTGGTTATTTACAGCACTATAAATCAAGCATATGCCATGAAGTACCAATAAAAATTGTTTAACATAAGACTTAAATAACTAAACTCTCAACAGCAGCTCATAAAATGAGACTTGGCAGTTCTTATGTAGTTATGGTTAAATTGACAGTGCTTTAGGGAGTTAAGATGGCCAAAAGCAGTAATAGTTAAGAATACAGTGATAGACGGTACAGTCTGTTGGTTAGACAGTCTTTATAGCACATTCCTGAGCCCATCACATGTTGAGAAATGTTAATTAGCACTGAGATGAGAGAATGAAGATATCAGTTAGTGGGAGACTAGACTACTGAAATCATATATCCTTCATCAATATAAGCCTAGACAGAAGAATGAGCTTTGGCATAAAGGGTCCTGTTGCCCTCTGTATGTAATAGGATCTTTTTCAAGTAGGAAGACAAATGGAAGAGGAAGCAAGTCCAAAAGAGGCTGAAAGGGAAAGTCAAACTCTGACAAAGGGATCCAGAGCCCAAATGTAAAAAGACCAGCAAGCATACACAGCTCAATTCCCTTTAAATATTCATGTGTGTGAGGTAAATGAGCCTTGGGCAAGGTCTAACTTCCGCTGCCAATAGCCCAAGCTGATATAACAGAAGCATTTGGAGCCTGTTCTATAGCATTTGACATTCCTGTCTCTTTTCCACTTGTGGCAAACTACCTCCCTCCATATTTAGGATGGATTGCCAGATGGCTTAACCAAAAATACTGAAATCCTCCCCCCCCAAAAAAAAACCCACTGGGGAAAAAATTCTGTTGGGAAAAAAAGGAGGAGGGAGGAGAGGCCAATGTTATTGAGAAAAAAAACAAACCCCTGACAGTTAAGACAAAAATAAATAAATTAAAAAAAAACACAGCATGGCCCCTGTAAGAACAGGGGCTGGGTGCTGCCACTCTTAACACGCTGCCAGTGTAGCTGCAGAGAGAAGGCAACAGCAGCGCTAACTGAGCATGCTCAGTTTCACTAAACATGCTCATTACGCCCTAGGTATGACTTTCTGAGAGGCAGCTGTTTGTGATGCTACACCTCAGGTGGTGGCCATCTTCTCTGCCTTCTCTCCCTGATCTGGACCAGACAGCTTCCCTGCAGAACCAGGTGTGTGGGGGGGGAAGCGGGTGGGTTGGGCCTGGTTGCTTAGGGTTGCCGCATGTCTGGTATTGACCAGGACAGTCTGGTATTTTTGCCCCCTGGCTGGGAAAAAAAATCAGAAAATACCAGACATTTTAGGTGTCCGGTATTTTCTGATTTTTTTTCCCCAGACAGGAGGTGAAAATAGCGGACTGTCTGGGTCAATACTGGACACCTGGCAACCCTATATATTAAACAAGGTGAGGTCAGAGATGGGGCCTAAATCAGATCCACAAACCTACACTTTGAGGGACTTTAAATTCTGTCCCTAGACCAGGATCTGAATTTTGCAATGTCCCTTATCCTGGAGCAAAATGTGCTTAAACTTTGGCATGTTCAAAATCTGGTTCCAAATTCTGCAACATGATCCCACTTCTGGGCTCCATTTCTGTTACAATATGTGAAAGCCAAGCCATGCTGCAGTGCAATACAGGCCTGTGAGCCACACCCAGGCCTCCCCCCCCCCAACCCCAAAAGAGCTCTGAATGCTAGAGGGCACTGGGAGTGTTCAGTGTGTCTCAGTTATAAGGTGGATGTGATTTGGGCCCCTGGGCAAGGTGGGGGCAGGAGGGTGGGGCAGCTCCATGTTTCTTGAAGGAACGGGGCCTCAGGTGGAAGGGGTGGGCCTGGGGCAGTGAGCACACTATGCCAGCCTCCCACAGTCCTCAGTGCCACCTGTAGTGTGCTGCTTCCTCCTCCCAGCCCTTAGAGCTGCTGGGAGCATGCCCTGTGATGCTCTGGCAGCGATTTAAAGGGCCAGTCGCAGTGGCAGCAGCTGGGAGCCCATGGATCTTCAGCAGGCCTGTGCCAGTGGCACAGAAGAGCACCAGTCCAGAATAGCTCAGGCTTTCTGCCACAGAAAGCTGGCATAGATGCAGGGAGTGGAAATTCTATAGCAATGAAAGTCTGTCACAAACTTCCTGTTGCTATGTGACCCATAGGAATCCAGGGCAGCCTAATAAAGTGGCAGCACTGGCTGTGGACTGTGTCTTGTCACTATGGGCAAAGAAATGTGTTGGCTCAATATGTCTCTGCTACACCCGTCACAAGATGACCCTCAGCCAAACTCAATACTAGTTACCCTCCCAGAGGGGGACTCCTCCACTAGGCACAGTTACTTTCACAGATCCAGAGAGGTTTGAATTGCCTTCCTGTGCCAGCTTTGGAGATAATTTTCTAACCTCTATCAGAGCATAAGAACTGGCAGCATCACACCCACCAGCATGAGCATGAGGCTGTTCAGAGGAAACTCCCATGCAAGACTCTGAAGTCAGATTCTGTTTTCTCTCCTCTCTATAGCCCAGCACACTATACCTGGCGAATCAGTCAGAAGCCATGACCTTGCTGAGCAGCCACTGTTACCTGGGATGTACTGAGCTGCTACATTCACTCACACATCAAGAGGGTACTAACAGACAGTGCCCCTCCTCCCTCTGCTTATCACATACTGCACCCCATTCTAACAACCCCCATAGTACATGAAAACAGAGAGAACATAGCATGCATACGATAACTAAGGAAAAAGAAATGTTCATTTATTTAAAAAACAACAAGATTTGGTTTGCAGTTATTTATTTTATTAAAATGGTTACATAGGTTGAAACAAAAAAGAGCAATACTAATAATGTTTGTTTTTCCTACGTCATAAATAATTATTGAGACTCCATTAGCTGTTGGCTCAGCATTGATCATGATCCTTGTTATTTAAAACACACACACAATTAGCATTTATGTTTTTAGAAAACATTCAAGCAGCAACAAAAATAAATTAAAGAAAATTTTAACAAGAAATTATGCAAATATTTGTTAATTGTAAAACCTACTTGATATGTTTGGCAGGCAGGCTTTGTGCTTTGATCATTAAAAAAAAATACAAACGTATGTTTGTAAAATGGCTTGTCTTCCCCAGTTTATCCCAGTGAAGTCACTGAAAGTCCTTTTCATTTCTAACATGATGACAAATATTGTTGTCATTTACTCAAATAAAAATACTGAGAATATATCCAACAGAATAGTTTGACAAGACAATCAATTTATTGTCACAAAATATTTAATACCAGAATAATTTATAATAGTATGAACAAGAGTGAAGTATTTAATTTCTGTTCTTAGTTACAAACTCACATTATTATGACAAAAATCCAGTAAGTCAGTTAGATATAAAAAAATTATTGTCATGGAATTCTAGACACATAATGATGCAAGTCAATAAGAGGTATACTTCAACTGTTCATACAGTCATGACGTATGTTTCCTGCTTGGCACTTTATGTCAATGCAAATCAGCAATTTAGAAAACAAAGTAAAAATATATATGTACAAAATATTTCCGTATCAGTCATTTTCATTGTACCCTAAATAAACCCAACATAATATTATGTTACATCAGGAAGCATCCTAGAAGTCACAAAAAGGATGATATTTGCTAAATAGCTTGACTGTTTTAGTGCAACTGGAACAGACTATGCTTGTAGGGTACTTGCATTATTGGCCCAGTCCTGCTTCCACTGAAGCATATGAGAGTTTTGCTGTCAACGTCAATAGGAGCAAAGGGCTACCAATAACAACTGATTGTTTTTTTCCTGTGGGTAACCTATCCAAACTGTAGGAACAATCAGCTCTTTTCCAGTTTTCTGTAACCGATTCAGTACAAATTATATTTGGCTTTACCACTGTTTATTCAAGCACTGGTTAGGATATTGTTGTATGATTCAAGAAAATCTTGTACACCAAACACAAATTTCTGCTTTTACACTGATTATATCACTCAATAGCAGTCAAGTTTGGAGAGTTAAAATGTTATTTTTGAATGCATGGTTTAGCATTGACTTTAAACCTCTCCTAAGATATATGCTGATATTTTTCAATGTTTCACATTCCAGATGTTTTTAATTTGGGTCTTAACTTGGAGTATATATAATTTTGGTTATGTCTTTTTTTCCATTGAAATGTGAATTGTCAATCAACTGTCCTTATTTGATACAGTATGTACAAAATAAAAGCATTTGGACATATTAAAGTAATAAGTTTCCATTGTGGAACGTTATTGAGCTCCAAAACAAACTGTGCTATACATTTAGTTTGGGACCAGAAGAGATTGGTTTTGTTTATATATATAACTACTTCAATAAGTCAATAGCAAAGCTTTAGAAGGATAAGGATGAAATCCAAATTGAATGTACAGCCTGTCCTGCTGCAAGCTTCTCCTCTAGAAATCTCTAATTATCATGTCTGTGTGTACATGTGCATTCAGATTAATCTAAATGACTGAAATATTCATAAACCTGTGTATTTTCTACAGTATTGCACTTTTTCAAATGAGTTATTTTGGTATTTTAACACACTGCAGATACAGGTAAGATGCAACACCCTCGGTGTCATTTTGACAAAACGCAGTGTACAATTTTTAAATAATACTCTGCATTTTAAAAAAAGATTTAATGTTTTCATTAAGAGTCACCAGTCATCAATTTGTATAAGTTAAATATGCAACATTTCTCTCAAGGGCTTCCGGCAATAATGTGTTCAACTCCAGACTGCTCAGGATCACTTGAAGTAATATACAAAGATTAAGGTTAATGGCATTGTCATTTTGAGGCATAGCTGTTGTACTATGCCCACGTTATAGCTTATTTTTTGAAAGCAAGGCACTTGTTATTATAGCAATGCAGACATTTTATGCGCACTTTGATTAACATAAAATAAGTTAATATCTTGATAAAAATTGACTTTATTTTATAATTTACATGCCTTTTATAGAAGCAATGGAACATTTTATTTAATACAATGAAAAAGTCTGGGTCGGAGAGTGCATTTTATTTTTAAACTGACCATAATGTATCTATTTTCAATATTTGCTTCATAGCTGTGGATCGGATTTTACTGAAAACCAATGCTGTGAGGAATGTCCATTTGACCACAAAAAGTAAAAAATTTTCAGAACTGCTGAACTAATGGCACTTTAACAGTCTTTATTTCTGATATATGTGATGACTTTTGAATGATGCAGCTGGTAGTCCCCTGCATTTTATCCTTTCCTTGGGCCAGGTTTGTTAGGGCCATCGCTGCATTGATCTCCTTCCAGTATGTTTCATCTTTTCTTGTTCCTTTTCTGTTAGCTGCGCTAGATTCAAGCAACAACAAACATTTACATGTAGCGATTACATTTCTACCATGACATTGTGATTAGGGTACAAATTGCATAGAAAAATTCAAATGGCCAAAGACAGCACCTCACTCACCTTTCACACTTATTGGGTCCATTTTCCAAAGTTTCTGAAAGCAGAGAAAAAAAACCTATTATTGTCCATTTTGTGCACAGTATTTCCCAAAACATACTCCAAACCCAGCATGAAATTGGCTCAGATGGAAATAAGACTATTTCTGAAAAGGAGATTAGTATTCTATGAAAGTAGCTGTATTTATCAAATGAGAGAACCTGAAATACAGTGGGACGGATTCACTCAAGGGTCTTAGCCAGGAGGAACTAACATAGACCCTAAGCAAGGCACTGGGTGACAAAAAGTCCAATTTGAGAGGCTGCAGATAGGTAAGTCCAATTTGAGAGGCTGTCTGCCAGGGATGTCATAATCAGCAAGAACCCCAAAGCAGGTAGTTTTAGTGCAGAGGGATCAGTTCTCCCAGCTTCAACAAAGGTGACTCTTGCCCAGGAAGCTTACTTATAGGTTCTGGTGGGATTGAAGATAGATGTTAAAAAAAAAAAATCCTGAGAACACGAGGAACGATAAGAAACATGAAAAAGCAGAACCACAGGCCTGTATGAATTTAAGGGCAAATTTACTACAAAACAAAATTTCCACCAACAAGATGGTTTAATCAGTTGTATGTAACCCTGACCCAATTTGCAGCTAAACCACACATAGGGTATGTCTACACTACAAAGTTAGTTCGAACTAACGGACGTTAGTTCGAACTAACTTTCATAGGCGCTACACTAGCGCTCCGCTAGTTCGAATTTAATTCGAACTAACGGAGCGCTTAGTTCGAACTAGGTAATCCTCATTCCACGACGATTAAGCCTAGTTCGAACTTGCTAGTTCGAACTTAGGGCTGTGTAGACCCTTAATTCGAACTAGTGGGAGACTAGCCCTTCCCAGCTTGCCCTAGTGGCCACTCTGGCCAACACCAGGCAAACTTGTCTGCCCCCCTCCCAGCCCTGGAGCCCTTAAAGGGCCACGGGCTGGCTACACAGTTTGTGCCAGTTGCAAGGCTGCCAGCACCCGTGCCAGCACACCCTGCACCTGACACCCATGAGCCAGCCACCCGAGGACACCCAGCCCTCCCCCTCTTCCTGGGACCAGTCTGGCGGCTCCCAGGAGCCTGCCCGGGGGCGCAAAAGGCGGGCGCCCGCTTGGTCAAGTGCGGAGATCGTAGACCTCATCGAGGTTTGGGGGGAAGCCTCCAATGTCCATGGTCTCCACACCAGCCGCAGGAACACGGCCGTCTACAGCCGCCCGGCTGGCAGCCCGGGCCGCCAGGGGCAA